ATACAGAGAGTATATATTGAGCAATTTGGATTAATTTTATCTGCCATAATTATGTAACTTTGTAAATCCTTTAAAGGGCTGCTATGAGTTCAAAGCGCCTCAACAGCATTTGACAAAAACAAGAATTAGAGGCAGGAGGAATACTGTTGACTTAGTGAGTTGCGTGTTGGGCTGCTGATTGCAAAGTCAGTAGTTTAAATCTATCAGGTGCTTCTCAGGAGAGAAAGGAGGCTTTGGTAAAGATTTATAGCCTCAGAAACCCTACGCAGGGTCACTATGAGTACCAACTCGACACCACACAGCCTGCCAACCATTAGAGGTATGCTGATGTTTTTGTTAAGTGCCATTGAGTCAGTTTGGACTCGTAGAGACCTTGTATAGCATTTCCAAGGAGTGGCTGGTGAGTTTGAACCGTCGACCTTGCAGTCCAATGCATTAACCCGCAGCGTCATACCATAAGTGATGTTGATACAAAGCTTTTTTTTGTTTTGATTGCAAGAAATGTGAGACGAGTCAGACTTTCCAAGTCATCGTATCAAAGGCATCTTCATTAGAAACACACCAAGTCTAAAGAGTTGAATGTATAATTGAATTCATTTATCACTTAACCCTATGCATCAGACTTCATTTTACTGGTTGAATTCACTGGGTATTTTGAGGATAATTGGTGCTCTCTAGTTAATTTTCCTTGATATAATGCTCAACATTAAAAAATGGAATTCAATTAAACATATTTTGTCTTAAATGTCACATTTTATTGCTTGGTAATGTGGTTGATACTAAAATGATGTTAGAATGAAATACCTAACTGGAATACTAAAGTTTAGAAATGCAATTGGTCCCTTTAAATGAAACTTCATTATCTTGGACTCTATGGCATTTTTACAAGTATTCATTGATTTCCCAAAGTGAAGGATATGCCACTCAGTGGGTAGAAAGCAATCTGGCCGAGAAGAAACAGCTAGGATTTCACTTCTGATGCTGCGTGTCAGTCAGGACACTGCTAACTTGACACAGCTAAAAATAAGAAGGATTATGTGAGTTGTTCTAGAATTCTCCTGATGATTAATATTAGTGACATGACCATCATGTTTGTATTAATAGAAACACATACAGTCGTCCTCCCTTATCTGTGATTTTGCTTTCTGTGTTTTCAGTTACCCATAGTTAACTACAGTCCTAACGTATTTAAATTGCAAGCAGTCGTATACAGCATGATGAAATCTCCCATTATCTGCCTCCATCCCAGAGTGGACTTCCTCTTCTTCCTCTGCTGGATTCCAGGCTGAACAAAAGTTTTGTCTAAACATATGTGAAACATTTTTTAGATAAAAAACCATGAAACGTTTTTTGGGACAGTTGTCATGCCTACCACAGCTACTAGTGCCCACGGGGTTAGGCTGCCTGCCCTAAGCAGCCTGGTACCTTTCATATGTATTTGTAGAGTTTGGTAACTACTAGCAGTTTCAGGCATCAAATGTGGGTCATGGGGGGAAAAACGTATTTACACATTTATAACAGTGATTCTGAAGCAGGAGTAATTTTGTGCTATCGGGAGACATTTGGCAATGGCTAAGATATTTTTTAGGGATTATCACAACTGGGGTGGTGTTGATGTGGATGTTGATGGTGTGCTATGGGCATTTAGATGGAAGGCAAGGATGCTGCTACAATACAAGTAATAGCCCCCCCCCCCAAATAAAACATTATTTGAACCAAAATGTCAATAATGTTGCTATTAAGAAACCAATAAAAATTTATTTTACTTTATTTGATCTAAAAGATGCTTCAGATATGTTTAGACAAAACTTTTGTTCAGATGTCAACACAATTGAACCACTTTCACTTTCTAACAGAGAGTATATATTGAGCAATTTGGATTAATTTTATCTGCCATAATTATGTAACTTTGTAAACAGTATCCCAAAGTAAGGAAAAGCTCTAATTTTTACACATTTGCCCACATCTTGCCTTTTCCTTTTGCCCTTCTTCCATTTTCCATTTCCTCTACCACATCCCAATCATTGGCCATAAACCAATATAGTGATCTCATTTAAAATTTAGATAGAACTTGTCTTTTTGTGAGATTACTATTTCAGTTCCCTTAAATTTTCTTCCCTTCTTTCATTCTTTTTGTAATTTATTAGGCTCTATGCAGATGGGACCAAGCTTATTTTCTCATTTTATTTTGAAGTTGAAATAAATTTCCAATTTCTAAATCTGAAATTATTAATTCTTTTCAGTTGGAATTAAAGTAAAATGCTTGAGTTATCTTCTTAAAGAAAAAAAAAAAAAACCTCTGACATTTTTCACTGTTGCCCTCTTGGTGTTAATAATAAATTTAATTATACCCCAGAATGATACTGACATAGGCATATTATTTAGAGATGTAATAAAGATTACTTCATACTTAAGGCTTTTCTTTGTGTGTGTTGAAATTTAAGACTAGTATAATGTAAAGTCTTTTAGGAAATGAAATCCAAATGTAAAATGGTAGGAGCAGTAATAGTGTTCTCAGAACTTGTTCAACATCAGGGAAGATAAAGTAAATCCAGATCAGCCTAAATCTGATCCCTATGAGGTAAATGTCAGACCTACTTTTCTCCAGCATTTTTTACCAATACTGATACCAGCTGTCCCTCCATGACACTCTTTTCTGGGCTTGATAATATTACAATGGCCACAACGAACTCATAGACCATAGATACAGTTAAGGGGCTTATTAAAAAACAGGGTCAAATTCAGGATTAGGATAAATAGACTGCAATTACAGATCCAAAAGTATGTATCAAAGTCTCCATATCTTCAGAGCAGGACAGTTCTTTCTACTCTTTTTGATCACATAGGTCTCCTCTCAAGGAGCTCTGGTAACATAGTGGTTACGAATTGGGCTGTGAACCTCAAGGTCAGCAGTTCGAAATTACCAGCTGCTCCGCAGGAGAAAGATGAGGCTTTCTGCTCCCGTAAAGATTTATAGCCTTGAAAACCCTGTACAGGGTCGCTGTGAGTAGGAACCGACTCCACGGCACATCACCACCACCACCAGGATTCCTCTCAGCTCCTTTCAGAATAGGTTCCTCTGGACCTTGTTGAGTATTATTACCGACTCTGCTGCAGGGCCTCTTTGGTTCTGTCCCCACTGGGTCCTTTCTGGGTCTCTCATTGTCTTCAGTGTTATGACCCTTGACCTGTATTACATTTCTTTTAGGAATTTCCTTTCCAACTCTCTCTGTTTCTTCACTCTTTCTTCCTTCTACTTCTTCAAGTTGCTTCTCTTCCTGCTGTTATCTGTCTGCAAAACCTTGCTGAGGTTGGCTGCTTATAGTCACAACTCCTTGTAAATTTCAAAGCATGGTCCCTTTCAACAGCGGACAAGAAACTGATAGACCACTGATACTTCATTTGCATAGTAGGCTATAGTAATCTAATTTGCATAGTCTTTTGACCAATCCATGCAAGGTGTTATGTCAGACACAGGTCAGGCTGGGCATAGAGTCAGTCAAAAAGTATCAAACCAAGCTGTTCACAGTTTATCCATGAAATGTAACAACCCCTCTGGGGATAGAAAAATGCAAGGTTTAGGAGGAAAATCTCTCAAACTGGTTTTTACCACACCTTTTGCTTTTGTTTTGTTTTTGAACTTTTTACTGTGAGTTGAGTGAAGATTTACAGCCATCATTCAATAAATCATGTACTTCGTTCATTTCATTTCAATGATTGCAATCCCCTAAATGTAACATCATCTATCCCACACTCCCTCCATTTGATTCCTGTTTTCATTCATCTTCTTTCCAAACCTTCTAAAGTTTGTCCTTAGGTAAATGCTGTGTTTTCTATTCTTTTTTTCCAGCCAAAATGTTCTTTTTTAAAATTTATTTTTAATTAAAAAAAAAGTTTTTATTGTGAATTGAGAGAAAGTTTACAGGGCAGATCATCAGTTTTACATTCAACAAATCATTTGGTTTGTTTTGTTACAATGATTATAATCCCCTCTGTATACCATCAGTTAACTCTGTTTACTTCTATTACCTACGAGGCTCTGTTCCCGTAAAGATTTACAGCCTCGGAAACCCTGTACAGGGTCGCTATGAGTCGGAACCGACTCCATGGCACATAACCACCACTACCACCACCACACTGAAAATATATATTAATTTAAATGTCTAGAGGGTATATTTTGCCTGCCGGTAGGCACATCGCCTTCCTGAGTCTATGGGCCTATCTCTTATTTTTCTCTATGCCATCGTTTCTGCTGCCATCCCTGTTGTTGCTCCTTTTCTGATTAGGATCCCAAGCTCCACTCATTCTCTTCCCTCTTGATGGTCCTAGGGTATATAAGGAGTTTTGAGTCGGAATCAACTTGATCGTACTTAAGAGCAACAAGTCTAGCTATATAAAACACCTCCCTCCATCTCTGCGTATTCAGGTTTCACCTAACTTTAAAAAGTTCAATCTACACGTCATTTCACTTTCCTGAAATAGTATCTGGAGTTTCCTAGCACGTCATCTATACTTCTCATTACTCGCTTAATACAAATCACGTGTGTGTGTGTCCCTTTCTCGAGGGCAGAATTTTATTGTATTATTTTCCTTCCTATCTCCAGTAAGTCTGTGACTTGCACACTCAGGTTGCATGAGGTTAGGTGAATGACATCAATTTGCAGAAATGAGTCTGCGCGACTCTCATTTAGAACCGTGTTTTAGTCATTTGTCCATTACACCTGGCACAGTTTCCAGCCTGATTCGGAGAACTAAGGCCAGATCCTTTGGGAACACCTGGTACCGCTAATCCTCGTCCCGCACCCACTCCTGACAACCAACCGCCTCCCAGCCTGTAGCTTCGGGACACGCGGCCCCGCCCCTTCTTTCCGCGCGCCGCTAGGGCGTCTGGGCGCACGCGCAGTGTGTGAGCCCGCGCGGGAACGCGCGCGGCTGCGGCTATCCCCTCCCCCTCTCTCACCGTGCACTCGGGGAACGGGCAGCAGTCAGGGTCGATCGTCATGGAGTCTCCGTGGGATGAACTGACTCTTGCCTTCTCCCGCACGTCCATGTTCCCTTTTTTTGACATCGCCCACTATCTGGTGTCCCTGATGGCGATGAAGCATCAGCCGGGTGAGTGCGGGGCACTATGGACCGGCCCCCTTCACAGCGAGGACGACCTGAGCTGGGGTGGGCGACAGAGCAGTGGCTGTCCTAGACAGTGCCCAAGGTCAAGGTGGAAGGACGCCAGGAGTCCACTTGTCTGATCTCCTAGTACATATGGGGTAATTGAGGCTGGGAGGGGAAGGAGCCCAGGTGCTCGTCGAGGGAGGTGTGACTTGGGCCCCAGGATAGGGGCCAGGGAAGTTACTGCCGCTTGTGGGAGCCACAGTGCTGCCAGGGCCTGCCCAGGTTAGTGCGCCCCCTCTCGGTCACCATTTTCTTGTAAAGTATTAAAAAAGTTAACGTGAGAACAAAAACCCCGAGAAAGAGACAGCAAGCCCCTGATTGAGTCGCTTCGAGTCCTGAACTGTTGTGGACCGCTGTCTTCCCAGTTGGAGTCTGGTGTGGCATTGTAGGGTAAGCAGTGGACTGCTAACCACAAGGTCGGCGGTTCAAACCCTTCAGTCGCTCCTTGGAAATCCTATGCAGGATCGTTATGTGTCGGAACTGATTCGATGGCACTTAACAACAACGGCCCAGTTTCGAAGGCTGTACAAACACATAAACCAAACGCACAAGTTGACCTCACTATTCCCCTTAAGGTAGTGTTTTACCACCACCTTCTTAGCATGTTAGTTAAAATTGTTTTTGAGAAGCTAATGGGTTCCTATTTTCACAGTCATTTGAGTGACACTGTACAAGTAAGTCATTGACAGGTGGTTTCACTGTAGACTTAAGATACACCAGGAGGCATCAGAAAGTTCCTGGAAAAATTCCCTTATCTGGTCATTCAATTTTTCCACGAACTTTTTGAAGCCAGTTGGTATAGTCTTATTCAGTCACTAAGGGAATGGGAGGGATGTTAACTGGACCCGGAGATACCGTCAGAAGAGGGTGACACCAGAATGATTGTCGAAAGTTTGGTGCAATGTTTTAGCAGACATTTTTATTATTTTTAATAAAAATAATCACTTTCGTTATAACAACAAAACTCTCTTTTGTAAGCCTCGTTTACATGGAGCAGTATATCTGCAAGGCTACAACGATTTTACTTTTTGAACCTTCCACTGTGCTCAGGACAGCTGCCATTATCCAATGATAATGAATCCTAGTTTCATCTTTACACACTACAAGTACGCACTTGTGTTTATTGCTGCTGGTGTTTTGATAGTTGCTAATTTTGTCAAATTCTCTGCTGTTTTAGCTACATTATTGTGGCAAATATTATTTGTGAACCGATATCAATAATTTTGTGAGATTGAAGTAACTGTAACTAAAGGAAAAGGAGAAAAATTAAAAAGGGCTTTCACTCAGTTATTAACAGTGTTGCAACTAACAATGTTGTAATTCAATGTAGAAAGATTTTACAAAACATATACTCTAAGAAATATTGTTGTTGTTGTTGTTAAGTGCCCTCAAGTGGTTTCCGACCCATAGCAACCCTGCAGAGGGTTTCCAAAGAGTGATTGGTGAGCTTGAACTACCAACCTTGCAGTTCAAACAGACTTTGCAGTCTAGTGCATTAATCCACAGTGCCACACCAGGACTCCATCTAAGCAATTAACCACTATACTTATCACATAGTCTGTGGTTAAAATTGATGATAACATTGCTAAGGATTCTGTATGATCTGGTATAGGAGGAGGCCCATGGGGAGAAGTTAACATTAACTGGTGCCACAGTACAGCATTATGAGTTCTTTTAACTGTGTGATCACAGACAAGTATTTGTATGTTCTTATATTTTTACATTCAGCATATCTTTACCCCTAGACTGCCTTGCTCCTATATTATATAGTTTTAGAGTTTGGGCAGTGCAGACAGCTTCTAACTGAAAGGTTCAAGTCCCTCAGAGACACCTCAGAAGAAAGGCTGATCTGAAAATAAATCTGATATGAAAATTGTGCAGCACACTTCTCCTCTGACACACCTGGGGTCGCTGTAAGTTGGAATCCACTTGGCAACTGGCTTATAATGCCATTGTTGGTATTCTGCTTGCCTTTTGGTTTTAGTCATCTTTCTTTGAGTCCGGGCATCTCTTTTTCTACTTTTTGTGTGTTCATGCTGCTCCGTTCTGCAGAGAGTTGATGAGTGAGAGCTTGAGGATGTTGCTGTACCTCTTTTTTCAACAACTGGTAATTTCCATTTTATTACTCCATATTCAATATTTGATGAGTTTTAGTATAGTTTAAGTGAGAGGCTCTCCAGGTAGAATCCAGGGCTACCTGGAGTTCCCTTGACGTTCTCAGGTAAAAACTAATTTCCTAATTTGCACATTTCATCTGCCCTTTTCATTCTAATTCTCTCACAAGTATACAGTGGTGTTTCCCAGAGGCAGCAGGATGAGTGATACTGTGACAGATTGATTGCAGAAGCAGCTATGAGAATCCATGACAATCTGGCTCTTAAGCCAGACATTGAAGAGATTTGCTAAAATGTCAAACCATCTGACTTCTCACTAAATGCTTTTCTGTTTTGGAAAACATAGTTATTTTTCATGAAGAATACATTATGTGTGATAACATTTACTATTTTATGTGAATAAATAAGCATTTTCAGTTATAATTTCTAGTATCTTAAATGTCAGTACATGTAAACATACACAAAAGCTCTTTGGAGTCCTCAAGAAATGTTTGAAGTGAAATTTTTTGTTTTTAGGATTTTGGAGGGGTTTACATTAACTTTAGGAGTCCTTGTGTGGTGTTGTAGGTTAAGCACTGGACCGCAAGATTGGTTTGAACTACAAGATCTGCTGTTGGTCACTATGAGTCAGGATTGACTCGATGGTACTTAACAATATAACAAGCAACCCTAACTTTAAGGAGCCTTGGTGGTGCAGTCGTTAAGTGCTCAGCTGATAAGAAAAGTTGGTGGTTTGAGCCCATGCTCCGTGGGAAAAAAGATATGACAGTCTGCTTCCATAAGATTTACAGCCTTGGAAATTGCATGGGACAATTCTACTCTATCCCAAAGGATCTGTTTTAGTTGAAATTCAACCTGTAGGTAAAGGGTTTGGTTTTACATGAACTTTTCTCAAAGGATTCGTTCCTGGGAGAAAATCTCGAAAGAAAAAAATCTGGGAATTTATGGTTTTTTTATTAGGACTCCAGTTTACAGGTGAGGTGAGGTGAGGTGATAAAATAACTCTGGGATTGAAGTTGAGCAGGCCAGAAAGTATCTCATGATCACTTTGTGGTCTCTACTGATCTCAGAGGAGAGTGGAGTTTGTATTATGTAATGAGACCCCTAGTAGAAACTTTGAATATGGAAGATCCGTGAGCTTCCTGGTTGGTTAAAGACATCAGTGCACGTGGGAGGATAGCGTTTCCATTGGAATGTGGAATCTTAGTGTTGGGAACCCTCTCAGGTCTTGCCCTTTGTGTCTCTTCTTTAGGCTGATTCTGATTTGTGTACTTATAATACAATTGTAAAGGATCCCTTGCAGCACTGTATGATTGGTTGGCAATTGAAATTTGCCAGTTACTCTTTGGGGGGATGATGGGATTTTCTGCTCTGATAAAGATTTACAGTCTTGGAAACTGTATACAGTGCCACTAAGAATCAGCATTGACTTAATGTCAGTGGGTAATAGAGCTGTAATCTTAAACATAGCACTTTCTGTGAGTTCTGTGTGTATTCCAGTGAATTACTGAGCCCAAAGAAATAGTGGGCATCAGTAGCAGCTAAGTGAGGGAGCCCAGGAAAGGGCCCAAACTTGTGGCTGGCATCCTGAGGGGACAGAAGGAATACGAAGATTTACAGCCATTGGGTCAGAAATGAAGGAGCCTAGGGAGTGCCCCTGAGCTTGTAGCTGGCTTCCTGAAGGAAGTACAGGAAAATCCTGAAGTTGTAGCCAGTATGTCAGGAGCAAGGGAAGCCCTAGGGACTCTTTCAGCTGGTATCTGTAGTCCTGGACTAACATGGCAGTTTGAAGTTAATCTTTTAAACTTAAAAGATTTGACCAAACTCTGAAGTAGTTACAGTCAGAGGAAGGGGTGTAATGTGGTTGGGCAGATGGTATCAGAACTGAACAGAGAAATCAGAACCGAACAGAGAATTGGAAATTGGGGATTTGTTATATCTTTGTAGTTGATGTTCTTGTTGTTGTTGTTAGGTGCCATCGTGTTGATACAGACCCATAGCGACCCTGGTCACAGCAGAACAAAACGCTGCCTGGTCCTGCACCAACCTCACAGTTGTTGCTACATTGAGCCCATTGCTACTGCCACTGCACCACACCAGTCCATCTCATTGAGGATCGTTCTCTATTTATCTGACTCTCCACTTTACCAAGCTGATGCCCAATCCAGAGATTGGTCCCTCCTGATAATATGCCCAAAGTATGAGAGACGAAGTCTGGCCATCCTGGCTTCCAAGGAGCATTCTGGCTGTACTTCTTCCAATGCAGATTGGTTTGTTCTTTTGGCAATCCATGGTACTTTTAATATTCGCCTCCAACACTATAACTCAAATGCATCAATTGTTCTGCTGTTTTCCTTATTCACTGTCTAACTTCACATGCATATGAGATTATTGAAAGTACCATAGCTTGGGTTAGGCACACCTTAGGCCTCAAAGTGATCTCTTTGCCCTTGAACACTTAAACGAAGTCTTGCGCAGAAGATTTGACTAATGCAGTGTGTCATTAGATTTCTTGACTGCTGCTTCCATAAGTGTTGAAGTGTTGGACGACTTCTGTCTTTTATCCATTTATCTTGATGTTATTTATTGGTCCAGTGATGAGGATTTTTGCTTACTTTATATTGAGGTGCAATGCATACCAAAAACTGTGGTCTTTGGTCATTAAGTATTTTAAGCCCTCTTCGCTTTCAGCAAGCAAGGTTGTATCATCTACATATAGGAGGTTGTTAATGAATCTTCCTCCAATCCTGATGCTGTTTTTCTTCATATAATCCAGCTTCTTGGATTATGTGCTCAGCATGCAGATTGACTAAGTATAGTGAAAGAATA